TAATATGACGCGTACAGCGACTAGAACGAGAAGGATTTTCTGCTCCGATAGCAAAACGTGGTAATGCTATGCCTGGCGATCCTCGTATCATGGAGCCAATCCACAGCATCCCTCTCAACACCAGCCGTCGTCGCTTGAACCTCGGGCTGCCTCGCATAAGTATATGTGCCTACACCTACACCCCCTCATCAGAAAAAGTGATACAACTCCTAAGCTGCCTTTCAGCTAGCGCTATATAGTAGCTCACTATCGAACAGTGCTAAGTGTAGCCTTTAGATAATAACAACCCCTTTCTTCTTAATAAATACTACTATAGTAGTAGTATAATAATATTAAGATAGATTTTAAAAAGCTATTGTAGTTGTAAAGATATCGACGTAGAAAGTTCCTATTAAACTTTGGTGTTCTGTGGGCACGGACGTGTATCACTTTTTCTGATGAGGGGGTGCCTATGTAATAATATGTACCTAGATACCGCCGCCGCTTCCCCGGGTTGCACCCCCCCCCCCCTCTCCTCTATCCCAGCCCGCCTCATCTTCTCCCCAGACCCGAACGTCGCATGGCCACGTTTTCTCTTATCCTCCTAGCTTCATCAAGACACAACTCCGCCGCCTCCATGTCTCTTGCAATCGCCATCTCGGCTTCAGCGCCGGGGACTTGATATCGGACCAGCATTGCTGCGGTAATGCGCTCGCTTTCGCTTTTGTTCCACAGCGCCGAGTACCAGGCATTGAGCGCGTCGCTATACGGCCTCCGGTCCTCGTATACTCCCCGTCTGGGATTCCGTATCGAGTCGCGGAAATCGTGGGTTTCCTGGAGCTCTGCACACGATGCGGATAGCGGGCGGTACACGGTTGGGAGACTTGTGCGCCACTCGAGCTGGGTCCACTCGAGCTTGTCGGCGAGCTGGGGATGGTCTCGGTGGGCTTTGTTGCGCTCTGCGATGAAGGACTCGTGGGATTGGATGGGGTATGCGTCCAGAGCAAGGGTCTGGAGCGTTGCACCCAACGACCAGAGATCCCCCGAGGGCTTCGCCTCCCGCTGCTCGTGAAGTGGAGGCGCGTATTCCGGGGTTCCGCAGAAGACGGCGTCCTCGTCCTCGTCCTCCTTTGTCTGAGCTGCACTGCCACTACTGCTATTACTACTGCCATCACACGTCATTGGAGTGGTTTCACTCAACCATGACCAAGGACGCGGATACGGCTTCATTCGCGAGAAATCTGACAGTTGGAACGTGGGCTCTACCGGAACTCCGTCCTCGGTTGCCCACCCGTCCGGATACTTTACTAGGATGTTTCCTGGCTTGAGGTCGCGGTGCAAGTACCCGCTGCCGTGGGCGATGTTGTGGTTGTGCAAGACGTCTATCGCGAGACCCATGTCGCGCAAGAATTTCCAAATAGTGTTTTCGGGGACGCGACATGTCTTGCTGCCCCGCCTGAGCTGCTGCGCGCTGAGTTTGTCCATGAAGGAATGGAGGTCGCCGAGCTCGCACAGCTCAAGCATGACGGCGGGCCCGCGAGGCTTGAAGTCGTCGCAGCAGCCGAGCATGGTTACAATGTGCGGGTGCTTGCCCAGAATCCGTAGGTTTGAAACCTCCCCTGCAAGGCACACGCTTGTCTTGGCTGCCGTGACATGGTCGTTGTTTGGTACCTTGACTGCGATGAGCTTCTTGGTGCGCCGGTGTTCATACTCGTACACGGTCCCATCGCCCCCGGCCCCAAGTTCGGTTTTGCGGCAGAAGAGCCGTCTGAATCTGTGGTAATCGCTTAGATCGCGGGCGCTGTAAGAATCAGACATGTTAGATCTCCGTTCCGGTAAAGCCGAACCTTTTTTTTTCCTTAGTGTGTCTGGCTACTGCAAGCTATTAAAGTTTTGTAGTCCCTAGTGTGAATCACGACTGGATATGTAAGTATAATGACAATGGATGACATGTTACATTGGCGTTGTGTAAGACATTGTTAGCGTAGGCCGAACCATCTCCTGTGGCGGGTGTTGGGTTGTAAACCTAATCTTGCGCGCCAAAGGGAGCTGTGAACTAACGGGCCAGATCTACTTCTTTGAAGGCTATCTATGTATAGCAATATGTCTTCGACGTCACTCGTGACCTTGACGACGGTCTTGGCAGCAGTTTGTTCCCGCTCATGTCTCACATGCGTCGGTATCTTGTGAGGGGAAATCTATGAGTACGTATCGACTTTCTACTATCTGCTTCAATATACACACACACAGCGCAAGCCCAACTGCAGTACCATGAGAAACCACACAGCGCCTTTCACAGACGACCATGGTCCACGCCCGCACCTCAAGCCCAAACCCACAGGTCCAAACAAGCTTCACTCCACACCCATCCCCTACATTTCTACCGAAAAAAAAACTCAAGAAAAAAAATAATCAGAAACAAAGCACAAGCCACTCCCACTCGCAGTCCCTCCAATTACACCTCATGTAAACCCGAGACATTGGACGCAAGTAAACCCCCCCCCCTAATATCTACCTAAAGTGGTGGTACATGTACATACATAGCAGCCCAACTTCCCCGCACCACCATCCCTCACCACTTCGATCCCTAGATTCCCAGATTCTCGCCCGCCATCAGTGACGCACACTGCTGCTACCTTTGCCATGCCAGCCGAAATGTCTCACCGTGATTGCACAGGACCCAGCCTGTTCGCCCAGCGCTCTACTTAGACCAGTAATCCCTGCTGTTCTCGCGACCCAATACTTATCGTCCCATACATGGCTATTGGCTGAGATTCTGCTTTTCGCGCACAGTACCGAGGTAATTATTTTAGGGTCTTTTTTTATATTTTTTTATTTTGTTTGGTTTGGTTGCTTCTATGGTAGGTGTAGTGGTGGTGGTGGTGCTGGTAAAGGGGGCTGTGTAAAGATGGGACGGCATGTATGCATGCGGTGGTGTTGTTGCTGTTGTTGTAGTGGTTGTACATAGTGATAGTACGAACACGTTGTATGCGCAGAAAAAAAAAGAGCCAAGTATGTAGACAAGAAGTAGGGAGATGTGGAAGGTACTACATTATTCAAGGTAATAGACATGGCACTGTAGATAATCAATAGGAAAAACAAAAAATTATGATCGCAGTGTCGTGGTTGGGTTTTAGTAGGAAACTGCTGTGTGTGTGTGTGTGTGTTGTAATGTGTGAAGGGACTGGGATGCAGTTGAGTTGAGTGAACGAGTTGGGTTATTGCCGTGTCGCAGTCGAAAATACATGTGCAAAGTAACAACACACTAGGCCCCTTTTTTTTCATGGAACAGGATATATCGACTCGTTTGTTCGTAAAATGGATTTAATAATACTACTATTCACACACTGCAAACCCCCCCAAAAACTGTTGGTACAAAAGAGTACGCTACCTCGTCCTCACCACACTACCACTACCACTACCACTACCACGTGAGCTAGTTTGATCCACGGAGCTCGGACCACGCCATTAAACTCGACTAGTACTACAAGCAGTCGCCGTCGTAGGCTAAAAAGGTGGCACGTGGATATGCAAAGAACCCCTGTTTGTGGGACTATACTAGTTTTGTACAAATGTCAATGCTGCAAACTAAGACTAGGTATACACTAGAAGAAAAAGAAGAAGAAAAAAGGGCGCGAATGTATCGCCGTTGGGAAATCCAAAAAAAAAGCGGTAAAAAGAAGAAAAAAAGAAAAACAGGAAGAAAGCAGGAAAGGAACAAAGAAGAAAAGGCCCGCCTGATGATTAAGATCCTACCCAATTGAGATATGCTTGGAATATTCGATTTCGTTATATTGCTACAAAAGAAAAAGAAAGAAAAAAAAAGAACATCATGGTCCATGTCCTTGTTCACCATCACCGTCTCCCTCGTCTTCTCGCCATCGCGTGCGCAGCCATTTCAATTTAAACCAGTCGCTCAGGGCTTCTTGGCTTTTGTTTTCTGAGCCATAGCACCATGTTCGTCGTTTGGATGCGTCGAATTCATCGGCGTCAGATGCGTCTCCATTGTCTGAAGCAGGATGGCCGAGTAATGGCGAGGTAGAAGAGTCGGCCGGTCTTTTCCCTTGCGATATGCTTGTGGATTGGCGGCCAAGACCTTCGAACCAGGATCGTCGGCGCATGTGGTTGAGCCAGGCAGATTGTGCGGTGTTTCTGCGCGGGGGCAAGGTGCCGGATCTGGGTCGTCGTTCGAGATCGACCGATCGAATAGCGGGCGAGGGTAGAGTCTCCCGATCGTTCAACTCATCCCAGATCTCGTGTGTTTCCTCGGAAGTAGTTAAGCGTCGTCTTCGCGATGTTTTGCGTGTATATGTAGTCGTCTGAGGGCTCTTGAGCGCCTTGGTATCTAGTGATAGTCGCGTCTTAGGGTTAGTGAGGGTTCGAGCAGGACCAGCCGGTGGTCGAGCTAGTAGTGGTGTTCTTTCGTCGGCGGGCTTGTGGTTGGCAGAGAAGTAGCCATTTTCGCCTCCAGCTTCCTCGTCGGTAGGCAATGGCGATGTAGGCTCGTCTGTGCTATGGGTATGCGGCAAGCCGAGGCCAGGCAGGAGTACAGTCTTGGGCAAGGGAACCCTGCCTGGGTCCTTGTGCGCTATTGGCGATAATGGTTCTTCGTCGCTGTCTTCGAGGCGCCAGCTCAAGCAAACAACGCCTGCAAGAAGGACGACTGTGCCAAGTGCGATGAGTCCAGCATGAAGACTCGACAGCCGGTCGCTCTGGTTGAAGTAGATCAATCCGTCTATAATGGCAATGATGTTGTAGACGCAAAACACCAGCGGGTAGAGGACGCTCGTACTGCACAGCTTCAAGCCACAATGCATGTAGTAGAGCTGCGTCAAGGCAAACACAACCAGTCCGATGAGGATCATCCAGGACTGCCAACGGTTGAATTCATTGTGACGGTCCACAATTGTCCGTACTAGGAGTTCAACAGCGCTTTTCGCAATGAGCAGCGAGTGCGCAGAGAGTATGCCACTGACACATCCAAAGAACATTCCTCGTATCAGTCGTAGCCGGGGCGTGGTGCGGGGGGACATGCGCTTGAGGACCCAAGTGGCGACGACCAACAAAACAACCACGACGCCCGTTGTGCTCATCCACAGCAGAAAGTTCCTTCGTCCCAGCAAAACAAGCAGCTGATCAAGGTTGTGCGAGGGCTCGGCAATGGCGCCGAAGAGGGCTATGAGCAATGCGCCGACGGCGACAAGCAGGGTGCCGACGAGCGAGTAGCGGGTAAAGGGCTCGCTGAGGATGATGGAGGCGCATATCGAGTTGAAGACGAGGCCCGAGGCCTGCAGGGTGGAGAGGACGGGGAGGGGGAGGGTGGTGATCTGGATGGTGCTGCCGACAATGTTGGCCACGACGAACATGAGCATGCCCAGCTGTCTCGCATCAGCAGAGGCCCGTGGGGGCGGCGGCGGCGGGCGTGCATACCTGCCATCTGCGCCGCTTGTACGGAGGCCGTCTCTCGTCGTCAATGTCCTTTTCTTCTTCGAGGAGGTGCGACTTGCGCTGCAGCGTCAGGCCGACGCTCTGGATGCTGGTCGAGGCGAGGCCGACGATGACGCCCAGCTGGCGAGCGAGCTGTCAGCACTATGTCGGCTTGGCACTGGGGAAGGCGGCTTGACTCACAGCGACGCTCGCGCCGGGTGATATTTCCACCATGACTGTCGGCGGGCGGGTGGTGGTGGACTGCGCCTGGATGGCTACCGGGGGGCGGGGCGCATGCTGTGCGGATGGGAGGAGGCAGAGCGGCAAGGGGCGAGGGGCGAGGATTCGGGGGGTGCAGACAGCGCAGCGCGTGGAGACGTGGGCGTCGTCGCAAATCGTCACGCCGCCGAGTCGGTGAAGTCCAGCAGTGCACGAGGCGGTTGGGCGACGCCTAGCCGGCGGGCGAGGCAGGGATCAGCCGACTGATGATGTAGTCAGTACAAGTAGGTGCGCCGACACGAGCCCTCGCTCACACACGCCCAGTGCGCCGTGCAAATAACAGTGGTATAATAACAACAATAATAATGCCAGCCGGTGCGCGGGCGGACAAGGCGGGATTCGAACACACGGCCCGCACGCGTCGCGCTGCGAAAGACACGCGCCAAGCCAGCGCCGTGCGTAGCTGAGCTGAGCTCGCTCGACTGCGACAGAGGGCAGACGTGCCTAGGCAGACAGCCAATCAGCGCGCCGCTGCCCCAGAGCTCCCGTGCACATCTACCATCTTGCCCAAGCTCCGTCACTGCCCACACTCCCCCCCCCATATACCCCCTCCAGACCACCCCTCCACCACCCCTCCACACCCCCCGAACGTCGCCCGCACCGCCGCCATCATGTCGCAGGTCCACGCCCTCTCCGACGACCAGGTAGGACGCCCGCCCGCTCCCCACCACCTACGTCAGCACCCGTCGCAGCAGCAGCAGCAGCAGCTAACAAGCCTCCCCATGGCAGGTCGCCGGCGAGCTCAAGAAGATGACGGCCTTCATCCGCCAGGAGGCCATGGAAAAGGCAAACGAGATCCGCCTCAAGGCCGACGAGGAGTTTGCCATTGAAAAGTCCAAGCTGGTGCGCCAGGAGCAGGCCTCCATCGACGCCGCGTACGAGAAGAAGTTCAAGCAGGCCAGCATGTCGCAGCAAATCACGCGCTCCACCGTCTCCAACAAGAGCCGGTTACGCATCCTGTCGGCCCGCCAGGACCTGCTCAACCGCCTGTTCGAGGACGCCGAGAAGAAGCTGGCCGACGTATCCAAGGACAAGAACAAGTACCAGGGCATCATGGCCAAGCTCATTCTCGAGGGCGCATACGCCCTCAACGAGGACAAGCTGCAGGTCAAGGTGCGCAAGGCCGACAACGACCTGACTAAGAAGGCCATCGACGAGGCCCAGGCCGAGTTCAAGAAGACCATGAGCAAGGACGTCGCCATCACCATTGACGAGAGCGACCCGCTGCCCGAGGGATCGTAAGTTGCGCTGCCTGCCGATTCCTGCGCCTGCGACTAACTTGTGCACACAGGGCTGGCGGCGCCATCATCGTCGGCACAAACGGCAAGATTGACATCAACAACACGTTCCAAGAACGGCTGAAGCTTCTCGAGTCCCAGGCCCTGCCCTCGATCAGAGTTACCCTCTTCGGCGAGAACGACAACCGAAAGTTCCACGACTAGACGCTGTTCCTGTACTCTAATCATCACGACCATAGCATTTCATCTTCACCCACACGACGGCGCACATGGACACACGTGTGCGTTGCGTCGCTGCACCTGGCGCGGAATCGTCTTTTTGCCGAGTATATGTACTGTCGACACACGGGAGACGGAAGAGGGGTTTGTAAACTACTCGGACAAAGATATAGCGAGTCAACGTTTATGCACATTTTGGATGCCATGCAGAGTATCTTGTATTGCGCTGTCATTATTGCTTTGTTGTTCATGGTGCGCTATCACGCTAACCTACTGACTAGCTAGCTCCATATGCGTATGTGTTTTTACAAAAAGGGTATATCGATGGGAGAAAACGTGCGCACTCATGGCGCCATGTACTATGCTATCGTCGCCCATAACCCAAAGGAGTGGATATCTCCTCGTTAGTTCAACGCCTGTACTCCATGTACCATGCCAGGATCAAACCGAGAACAAAGGAAAGGCCATACCGTCATCAAACCCTGTCGTACACGCGATCCCACATGGGACTCTGTGTTCTCTCATACACTGCCTCAGTACCACCGTCGGAATTCCTCAACGGCCACTCTGTCATCCTACTTTTGTCTTCTTGCGGGCCTGGACCCCCATCCTCATACCCATGATACCCATGATACCCGTTCTCCCCGTTTCCGCCCCTGTAATACCACTCGGGCCCATAATCCTCCAGATAGGCATATCCCGCGTGATTGTATCCCATTCGAGGCTTGTTCGTCGAGAAAGAAGAGGAAGAATGGGAGGCAGAGGTAAAGGAGGAGGCGTGAGAAGAAAGGTAGGACGAGATATTGGAGAGAGCGAGGGCAGACGAACTGCTTCCGCTGTGTTGCCCGGCTGCTGTATGTGAAGCAGCAGCGAGAGCCGGGCGGGATAATAAGTTCTGCGATGTTTCTGCTTCTTGAGGCGAAGAAATCGGTTTGCGTTTTATACTTCCGGAAGCAGGGATGCGCAACGGTTCGATGACTGGTAGTTTACCGCTGTTCCTGGAGCCGCGCCTCTGCTGATAATGCTGACGACCTAGAACAGGTGAGTCGGCATTGGCTTCATCCGGCTCCGTCACCTCGGCCACAGAGTGTAGACTGCTATGGCTTGTTCGCCTTCCCCGCGCGCGGTTCGACGAGTGGCTGTGGTACAGCGCGGGTGCTAGCATGGGCCTGTGGTCGTCTTGCATGTTCGTAGGCGACATCGCTCCTACATCACTCGGCGACTCTGGCATACTGTTTCTCGCTAGGATGTTCGCTTGCGACGGCGTGGGCGCTGCTGCTGGTGGAATCATATGTCCGTGGTACGCTGTCGAAAAGGGCGCTGCATCGTATCCCTCCTCCTCATCCCAGTTCCTATCGTCGACAAAGTGGCCGTGCTGATGCTGGTTTGCGAAGCGGGGATTCAACGGCGCACGGTGCTGATAGTATTCTGGTTCAAACCGGCCCTCTTGGAACGAAAATCGCGGGATGAAGCCTGGTGATGAGGGTGGCTGACTGCCTTCAATGCGCTGTTTTCGTCGCCGTCGGATGAAGATGCAGCATCCGAATATGCAGGCTGCGAGGGCGAGAGCTGCAAGCGGTACGCCGATGCCAATGCCGATTTTCGCACTGCGCGTTAGGCCCGAGGAGCTAGATGCGGGGGCTACGGGGTCTGATGATGCGCTGGGTGTTGTGCTGGAAGTTGTGCTGGGGGTTGCGCTGGAGGTTGGGCTGGGGGTTGAAGAGGCTAATGTTGATGTCGAGAAGGTGGTTGCCGACGAAGTAGTCAGCAGCGACGACGACTCTCGGAATGTCGACCTCAAAGTCTGGCTCGACGATGCCGTCGGTGTAATTCTCCTTGAACTCTCCGACACCGACACCGACGATTGCGATTCCCGCACCGAAGACGCTGTACTCGACGCCTGCGAAATGCTCGTTGGTGTTGTCGTCGGGCTTCCAGTCACAGATGCAGTGACGTCAGTTGGCAACGGCCCCGTGGCGGGCGGTGCCGCAGTCGCAGGCCCAAACTCTTTAATCAAATAACTCTGGACGTCATACGGCAGCTCATTGAACCACTGCGGACGATTGTTATCCAGGAATTCGTTCCACAGAATGCTCGACACAGCGGGTATGTTTGTCGCGGCAATCTGGCGGAGCGACTGGGGTAGTGCGGTGGCGAGGATGCCGAGAAGCTGGATTCTGGACTCGAGATTAGTTTCGAAAAGTCACAACAAAGGCGTTTTTGGACGAGTTTAGAAGGGGAAAAGGCATGTCTTACGCATCGGGATCGTCCGCTTGTCTTCGCCGCAGCTCTCGCACCTCCACGCTACTACCATCTACACGCGGCGCGGCCGTAATACCGGGTATTGGTGGAGGTATATCAACACCAACATCCGCGCCGTGTACCGCCACACATGTCCCCACCAAATATGCATTTCCGATAAGTAGTATTTGCAGCGCCGAGAGCCTCCATGTTCGTAGCGAAAGCATGTATGTGTTTGTTTGAAGCAGCGAGCGTCGGTAAAGAAAAAAACGAGGATATGGATAAAAACGATACCCTGAATGCGAATCGTCGGTTCCTAGGTAGGGCGAAATGTGTATTTGCGCAAGCGATGGGAGTATATGGCTGGTTTAGTGCTGCATAGTATTTGTTTCGCGCGGCGACTTGGTCGTCATGAGTTCGCTTATTCGTTCGTTCGTATCGTTCGCAAGCAGGTGTAGTATAGCGTAGCGTAGCGTAGTGTAGGCGTAGCCGTATCGCGAAGATGCAAGCCAAGCCAAGAGAAAAAAAAAGCGAGTGAGAAAAGAGAGAGAGAGAGAGACAGAGAGAAAAAAAGGTTCAATCGATAGACAGGTAGACCAGGAAGAACGGGAAAAAAAATAAGGATTCGCAACAGCAACAGGGCAGTGCCCCCCGTCCCAACCCCAACCTCTCCCCATGTATGGTATGCGTAGTGTAGTGTATGCATCCATGTTATCCGAGTAGCCCTGGCCCAGTCCTAGCCGGGCGTGCCCCACTTTTGCATACCTAGTCTGTGGCGAAGTCGAGCTTTTCGCCTCAGGTGTACACTACTTACCTCACCCACGTCGACGTAGGTGTATTCCTTGCTCCTTATTGTTATTGCTGTTAATGATTTTTCCCGCGGGGCCAGCACCTGAATGGCTGTGGCTGCATCGATTCGCTTCGCAACATGGGTGGGCCTGAGGTTTGGCGGCTAAAAAAAGATGAGGGGGGGCGGGGGGGGGTAGGTAGGTTGTTAGGGTTTTAGTCTTGGTAGCACAGCTCAGCATAGCTCAGCAAGGCACAGCCACCACATGTCCTCCGCAATTCAAAGGTGCAACGCGGATTCGAGGGCACATAGTGGCAGTGCCGATCATCCAGGGTCTTTTGGTCTTGGTCTTGGGCTTCGCCTTCGTTTTCTTTCGCGTACGAAGGCTGCTCGCTGCTCGTGTGTCGCGGGGCTGGGCTACGTAGGTAACGTGTATGTATGTATGGGAGGCCCCGGGGTGAGGGGGGGTAATCGCTTGATAGCATTGGATTGGATCGGATCGGGATACAAGAAAAGGGATTCTTGTTTCGATGCCTTGAATATGTGTATGGGAACTGGGGAAACGTCAATATGCGTAGGCCCTGTAGCTTCTTCGTTTTTTTTCTTTTTCGCCTCCCGTGGTAGGGGAGGGTGGGGTAGAAACCAGCTAGCTACTAGACAGCTAGACAGCTACGGTCAACGGGCTAGGGTGCGTAAGTGTAGGACCCTTATACTTGTACTTGGGCGTATGTACACTTATGTATACTTAAGTATACTTATGTATACCCCGCGCACAGTGCGGTGCTAGTACCAGTACCAGTACCAGTACAAGAAAAGACCAAGTCCAAACCGCCAGCGCCATGTGCAAACGCACATGATTCCACCCCATATCCAAGTGCATGGACCACAGCTGCCACAGCTATCATCCCAACCCCCAACCACACCACTACCAGCTACCCACGCTAGTCCCCGTCCCCCCTCCCAACCACAAGCCGATTCCCTGTGGCGGTGCGAGCCAAGCTGCAAGCGACGTTGAGGAACCGTCAGTGGCGAATTCGACCTGTTTTCGCCATCCGCCACGCAAGTATATTGCCTCTTTGCCTCGCTTACACCTAAGTAGTGTACAAAGCCGCAAGCAACACGGCGATATCTGATATTATCCTGTCAGCACCAGGTGTAGGTGTACACCTAGCAGCTACACCTAGGTTGTAGTATCCCGTCTGTTTCCGCTCAGCAGCGAAGCGACATATATACATACGCCATATCAGCCATGACACTCACCAATTAGGGTTTTTTTTTAAAAAAAAAAAATAAAATAAAAAAGGGGAAGAGGGGGGGGGGAATGCATCATGTTAATGTCAATGTGTCCAATATCCGCCAACAAGAGAGTTGGAAAAAAAAAGGCGAAACGAAACAGTCAGATTTCTAAATTTTTTTTTTCCACCTCCCCCCCTCCCCCACCGCGGCCTCTCTCGTATACGTAGCCCGCCTTTTCTATTCTTAGATATTGTACCCGTACTGGTACGTACACATAGTGTACACGTAAGTGTGTAAAATGTACAGTATAGGTAGCTGAGACGATGATACCCGATCACATGATACATGCACATGTTTCGCATAGATATACTTTTTGTTTGGGGGAGGGGGGGGGGAAGGCAACATTACAGCCACAGCGAATAAGAGAGTTTTACCACCACATACTTGGACTCGAGCATTCATGTTTTTTTTCTAAAAAAAGGAGGTTTTTCTAATGATACTGTACAAGCCATATGTTTCAAAGCCCCTCGTTTGTCTTTTTTTTTCTTGGGTCTATGTATGGAACCCCACCCCCAACCCCGTAGCTCTTCAATTACACGCACACAACCAACTAGACTAGTCTTACACTCTTACTCGCGCAGCGCTCTCATTTCGCTCGGTAGCCATGCCGAAGCCAAAGTCCTTTCTGCGCTTGTTTCCCTTGCGGTCGCCGTACTGCTCGTCGAATTTCTTGATGGCGTTGAGGCTGCTCATATTTTCGCTGATGCTGGCGCTGATTTCCTGGAGCGCCTTGTCAAAGTGGCGCGGGTGCAGGATGCGCTTTTCAGGGAACGAGTAGGATTGGCCGCGCACGAGATGCGCGGCTTTTGGAGGCTGCTGCGATGAGGCTTCTTGGTGGGACTCGGATGCGTCGGCTGATGCGTCCGACTCGGCTTGTCGAGTTGCTGATTGTGCGTCGTCGGAAGCCTTCAAGGCGGCTATGGCGGCTTGTTCGTTCTCTTCCTTGACACAGGCGAGTGCGGCTGACACGGCAATGTTCTTCAGGTCGCTTCCGCTGTAGAACGGAGTGCGCTTTGCAATGTCTTCTAGATCAACAGACTCGTGCAATTGCTCGCCTCTGAGATGTATCCGTAGAATCTCCTTCCGGTCGGCTTGTGTAGGGAGGTCGACGAGTAAGCGTCGAGGTAGGCGGCGGATAACAGCATCATCCAGGTCAAACGGCCGATTTGTAGCCACCATGACAAACACTGACAAGTCGTTCAGGCCGTCCCATTCTTTCAGAAACTGGTTGAGAACATCGCGGTGTGACGCGCGCTCGCGCATTGCGTCTCTTGACGCGAAAACGGCGTCTGCTTCGTCGAGAAAAACGATGCAAGGCGACAGTTTGCGCGCCAGAGAGAAGATGGCCGCAACATTCTTCTCACCCTCGCCAACATACTTGTCCATGATCTGACTTCCAGACACTTCAAGCACCGAGCTACCACTCTCCTTGGCCACGGCTTTGGCAAGAAGCGTCTTGCCAGTGCCCGGAGGCCCGTAGAGCAGCGCACCCGAGATCTTCTCAGTCGCCAGGATACCGTAGCTGAATGCCTCAGGCCGCAGCAGCGACAGTGACGTGATTGTGCGTATCGAGTCGACAGTTTCAGTTGGCACGTGAACCTGGTCAAATGTCGTCTTGATTTGCTCTGGGTCTGCGATACCGGGCATCAGCCGTTTTTCGTGCTTGTTGGCGGTAGCTGCTATTTTCTGTAGGTTCCGTTGACGTTGCATTGCCTTCTCATCTGTGTGCTTCTGTCCAGCATCTTGCTCCACCTTGGCTTCCATGTTGCTGAGCGCATTCTTGGATCGTTTCGACATCTCGGCAAGCTTCTCAAAGTATGCATACTTGGCAGTATCACTGGATTTTAGCAAACCCATCGCCAGAGCTACATGTGCCCAGCTTAGTTGCACTGGAGCGGTCCCAGAGGCAGCCGTCTTGTGCGCCGGACTCATCAGGAACAGGCCCAGAGCTGTCAGCGCCACTCTGTGCACTTCGTTATACGTCAGCACGCGACTAAAGTGCGACTGAGAGAATATCGGTGCCCATTCACGGAAGCGTGATCGAGTTTGGTCCATGTCGAAAATGGTTGCGGCCACAGACGGATCCAAGGAGCGAAGCATGTCTCGAATATGGTGCAGGTTAATGTATCGGAGTTTGCTCTTTTCCAAGTGTGAAATATCAGCAGATGACGCCGTACTACTGCCCAAAGATGCGATGGCCTCGTCAAGGTTTGGCGTGCTGCTGCTGCCGGACTCTGCTGCTACCACAATGGTCCTGAAGAAGCTACTTTCGCCTTCGCTTTGAAGCCCACGGACGCCACTGTGACCTGTTAGCCTCAAGACTCAAATAGTGAGCGAGATCCATACCCGGGATTGAGTTCAGGCGTGAGGTCGCGTGAACATGTACTTCCCACAATCATGATGCTCTCGCCAGCAATGCGCCGCTTGCGAACAATTTCCTCAAGCTTCTGGATAATGCGACCGCCATAGTGCGTAGCGTTGAGCTGCTTAAAGTCCTTGACATATATGATCTTAGGCTTCCGAGTAACGTTGCGTGTATCCTCGGCTTGGCCAATCTTGACTACCATGTTGATGTCTGGCCTGGCAGCTACTGGTAATGTCGAGTTCAAATCAAGCTCAGCACTTTCCTGCCCTAATGAGTAGTCAAAGAAGGCCGGGCCCTTGGACGAATGGTGTTGTTGGTCAGATGTGTCAAATTTCACCAAGGTTTGAGCACCGATGATGCCACGGCTTTGCTTCAGGTCGTTTGAGTCAACCAAAGTTTCCAGGAGAGTGGCTAGCTTCATATCCTCGAGTTGCATCTCGCCATGACTTTGATTCCTTCCAGAGTCGTCGGTAGAGACATTGGTAGAGGACCCAAACGCAGTTGCGGAACCCAGTTGTAAGCCTTTGAGATCTTGGGTCATAGCCCGCAGAGCAGGCGTGAGGGCAATGATGGAGAGCGGGACGGTACGAGAGCGCATCGAATTTGGATCAGACTGTTCCACCGACGAGGACTGCGACCAGTCTGCTTCATCTTCGCCACCGGTTTCCTGCATGTCCACCATGAATTCATTCAGGTCTGCATTCAAGCAGTACGTATCATAGCCCAGTGATCTGATTGAACGTGGTGAAGGCTCTGCCCCTTCGCCTAGGTAGTCTCCAGCGAGCTGAGCGAGATCCTGCGCATGCAATACAATGACGTCAGCGCCCAAGTCGAATGCACAAGATGTGACACATGCGTCGATTGATGTCTCCTGCTCGGGCGCGGGCGAGTGGAGGATGAGGTTTGTTTTGGCAGCAGGAAACGAGTCGCTGGCGACGGGCTGCAGCACCGACAGAGATGCAGCAATCGTGGCGCGTATTTCGGCAACTACCAGCGAGGATAGGTGTCGCGAAGTGCCCATCTGTCTGGTCCTTGCAGCCTCTCGTCTCTTGGTCACCTGTCCAAGTTTCGCACTCTGTTTTCTCATGGCCTCAATTTTCTTGCGGGGGTCCATGTCGGGGTCGTTTTGCAGCTTGCTCAGATTCGCCCAAGCCTCATTGAAAACACTGTCTTGCGCCGTTGTCGCGACAGGCACATTGTCCGGGCGTTCGTCTTCTGCGCTTGCCACCGCCTCGTTGTTGCTCGGCTGTGACGCCTTAGTCTCTGCCTGCTCTTTCAATGCCAGTCTCTCCTCGAGATACTTTTCGACTTTGTGTCTTTCATTGTCGTCCAGCCGCCTACTCCACAGGCCACGTACCAATCGCGAGAGGATCTGGGCGGGGTCTGAATCGCGCTGAGCCGGAAGTGCACATGTCGCCTGCTCTCCCGATTCCGCATGGGTAACTTGGACTGAAAGAACAGTGGGCGGGCCTAGATCTCCAGGCAGGTCCTGGAGCCGCAGTACCCTCCGCTTCAGGAACCAGTCTGGGATATGGACAGGCGGGAGCCCCGAGACCTTCTTGCCCCGCTGCTGGCGTCGCAAGGCAGCCGAGTACCTGCGCGATGTTTCCCGTGCACGTTGGAGTTTTTGTGCCAGTAGTTCGGGGTCTTCCAGCGCTACCGCGCCGTCTTCTAGCTCCTCTGCAGGTGCCGCCTTGTCTCGGTCCGCCGGACTGGCGTCATCTTGGCCGGCGGGGGTGCCATTGGGTGCGGGCGGGGGGTTCGCGGCTTGTGCGAGCGGGCGTGCGGTATGGAATGTGCGTAACCGTGGTGTTGATGGGTAGCGGCGGCCGCGAATAAAGCGCGCTGGAGGTCGTTTCGTGGACGCTCGCAGTGCTGACCGAATCACGTACATTCGGACGTCTGAGGCGCTCCCGGAATTGTGGATAAAGGAGGCCTACCAGGGGGGTTGTAGCCTTTGGGCGGGGGGGGGGGGTTCGAGCAAGGCGCTGGGTACGATGGCAATTTCGTCGTTGACTTTGTTCGTTATCCTACCTGGACAAGGGTCTCGAGCCAAGACATGCGGCTGTACCCGCCCTATCATATCTGCATCTGCCTCCACGCTATACCCTAGTCGCAATCTACCAGTACGAAGACGCGCGACACGGTCATCAGCCTGGCTGACACGATGCACAAAGACAAAGGTGAAGGGGCCATGTTCTGTCTGGGCGTGCTCGCTGTTCTACCAAGCTGCGGCGCGTGCACGACGTAACCAAGAAGACGAATTTGGGCTGGACCCTAGCATTGCATGTGCGGACATCAGGGGACTTGGAGAGCTTCACGGATTGGTCTTGGACTGCTAGCGTACGGTTGACATGGGTCGAGTCTTTTCGTCGTGATGCTTGGTAGACGGTATGCAGATACAAGTTCACGCTGGAAACATGGTTCATTATGTGGAGCGTACTCTGGAGACTGGTTGCGTATCCAACTGCCTTGAAGCTAATAGATCTAGGAGAAAACGGGCCTATAATGCGTGTCTTGAGATTTACCATGGCGTCTCTGGTGAATCTAGACTGTGCGTGCAATCTGACCCTGAAGAAGGAGACAGATATCATCTTGTTTGCGGATGGATACCGAGCGCTATCACTGACCGAAGGCGGGGCGCGTCGTGTGCACACGCTGGAGATTTGTTCACGCTCGGCAAAGCATCAGAGGCTGGAGGTGGAGGGTATGAGTTGGCAGGCGGGTTTTGTGGACTCGTTGGCGGCTTCTTGGGGGTTGCATGGCCGACGCGTACCACTTGTCGCTGGCAGCAACAGGTGTCGTGTAGAGGTAGGAGGCGTCCATTCACGATATATATGGGGTTTTTATGTACTGTGTTAGTGCAGCGGTGCCGGCGGGCTCTGTACAGATTGCGCCTTTGCTAATTACCGGGGGCTCAATGCGAAGACAAGGCGCCAGAGATTGGCTCGCTAGGGCGTGTGTGGGGATGCAGAGATATGGCCCTCGGAGAGATTGTGGGTAGGGGGGTTCCTGGGACCCAGATGTGAGATATTGCGGCATTGGCATAGCAGCCATGCTATGATGGCGACAAACTGGTGACCAGCAACCCTCGCCTTCGCGGCTCTTGCGGCACCACCACCACTGCCAGCCTACTGGATACCTGGGGACGGCCCCCACCAAGGCGGCGGGCAGCGTGACGGCGCATGATGCTGCTGGGGAGCGTGGAGCTGGGAAAGGAGCGTGTTTGTATTTTGTTCTGCCACGTCGTGCCTGGTGGTGCATGGACTCTCAGTAGGTGCATGCCCGCAGGGAGTGGAATGGGCCCAGAGGCAGACACGTGCGCTAGGCGGGCGAGGTGCTGCAGCGCCGTTGGAGTGCCGCGAGGCGAGGGCGGCGAGGGAGGTGAGGCTGCGACGGCGGCAGCATCACGGCAGCAGGGCGAGGCGGATGGGCGGCGGATGGGAACAGGAATGCGATGCAAAGGGATGCCAGCCCCGCGAATATTGAGGTGATTGTGATGGGCGTTAGCGAGCGCCTGTCAGTGGCTGCGTCTCCGCGTGTTCCTGGAACCATGCACCTGCCCTGCCCTGCCACTGCATGCCCGTGCGCGCGCCGTCGATCGCCGCTTCCTTTTGCGTCCTGACCGCCCGTGTTGGTGTCGAGGGCCTATTCACTCTCCCCCCCCCCCGCCCAGCCAGCCCAACCAGCCCGGCCTCCCACCGCCGCCGACGACTCGACCCAGCCCTGCAGCTGCTACCACCACCACACTCCCCCCCCCCCCTTTGCCCTCTGCTTCCTTCACCCTCGCGACATGCTTCGCGTCCGTCCCGCCCCTCGCCCACGTCATCCCTAGCTGCCCTACGGCGCGCGCAGCTTGGGGTAGCCCTCGCACTCGCTCTGGCTCCACGATATAGCTCCGGCACATCCCCTTCCCAGCCTAGCCGCGCCCCAAAAGATTCCCCTACCGCTACCGCCCTCGCCCAGCACGCGACAAGTCCTTCACCCACCTCCCACAGCAGGCGCATCCAGTGCCATGACGTCTTCCTGACATGTCGGCTCGCCATTGCAACCCTCCTCCACCATCGACCTGGAGGCCGCCATGTCGCTTACGCCCTCCAATTCCCGGATGAGCCCAGCCATTGGGGCCGCCATCAAGCTCAATCCCTCGCCCTCGCCCTTCTACAAGTCGGCCCCGCGCTCGCCCGTCAAGCAGGGACGCGCCGACGTCACCATTTCCCTGCGCCAGGTCATCGGCACCACGACAAACTCGCCCAATGCCTTTGACAGCCTGCCCTCGGGCACCACGTTTGGCTATGCCGCCGGCGCTGCCGCCGTCATTGCCGCCATAGACGACCACGGCCATGTCACGCAGCGCTTCTACCGCGCACGCCCGGCCACCAACCCCATCAATCCCTCCGCCTCCATCTACGGCGGCCCCTCGACGCCCATGCAGAACGAGAGCCGCAACCGGACCACGCTCACCCTGCGCGATGCCGGCTTCGGGGCCTCGACGCTCCCCGCGCCCGGCGCCCACGACTGGGCAGACTCGCCGACCAACAAAGCCTGGACAACCAGAGACAAGATCAAGGCAGCAACCTGCGTCAGTTTTAGCCCAGACGGCAAATACTTTGCTGTGGGCGAGGCAAGTCCAGTCACTCTTTCGTCCCCATGCTGCATGGCCCTAACGCGCTCTAGACGGGATACAAGCCGCGCGTGCTCATCTTCTCGGCCTCCCCAGACGCCCCCTGCGACACGCCCCTCTCATCGCTGACAGACCACACCTTTGGCGTCAACTGTGTCGCCTTCAGCCCCGACTCGCGATTCCTCGCCAGTCTGGGCTCCGCCAACGACGGCTTCCTATACATCTGGCACATCAACTCGCGCACCGGAGCCGCCACCCTCCATGCTAGCAACAAGTGTGTCAGTCGCATCAACCGCATGGCCTGGATGGGCAACAAGCTGATTACCGTCGGCGTCCGCCATGTCAAAGTCTGGAAAATCGACGACCTCAACACCACCATGCGAATTGCAAAGGCGCGCCAGAGTGATGCTTCGTTCCTTTCCAGCTCCATTCACAAGACATTACCCGGGCGCAACTGCATCCTTGAAAGCCTAAGAGAGTCCACCTTTACCAGTGTCGTCGCCATAGCCGAGGACAAGGCTATTGTGGCCTCCGACAAAGGGGACATATGTCTCATTGACGACTCCGAATCAGACCAACGCTTCTCCAAGCTGGTAGACGCCGGATTCGCTGTGAGCTCTCTCGCTGCCGACGTCAAAGGCCGCCTTCACGTCGTTGGTAGCCAAGGAGCACTCAAAACATTCAACATCAATGAAATTGCTGGGATATTGACCCCGCCACCGTCTCCCCCGCCGCCGGTGGAATCTCCTACTGTTCCAGTCACGGATTGCGATCAAATTGGCGTGATTGGTTGTTTGAAAGACTACGTCGTCACAGTGGATTCGCAGCGGGCCATTCGACTATCACAGCTGTGTTCTGATGGCGATGATGCGGTTGTCGGAGATGTCATTCGCACCTTGTCTGCACACGGCAAGGCTGTGCTAGGGGTCCACGCAGAACTCACCCAGCCCAATGTGTTTGGCGCGTCCTACTACACGTGGGCTGCCGACGGCACCGTCATCTTCTGGAGCCAGGGTACGTACAAGGATTCGCTTCAGGTCCAACTTGAACAGCTGGACGGTCCCGAAGCGGTTCCCAATGAGCTGAGGACGGTGCGCACAACCGCCGACGGCGCCTTTCTGGTAGCAGGAGACAGATTTGGCGTATTGAGGTTCATCAACTGCAAGACAAAGACTTGTACGTTGGAGTTCAAGGCACATGCGAGCGAAGTCACTAGTATTGCCATCTACGAGGATGCTCAGATGGCATTTGTCGCGTGTGCTAGCCGAGACCGCACCGTACAGGTATTCAAGCGGGTCGGAGAAACTTGGGACCTGTTACAAACACTCGACGAGCATGTCGGGTCCGTCAACGGCATTACTTTTTCACGCAATGGTACACGGCTGGTGTCTTCCTCTAGTGACAGGACCCTGGTGGTCCGCGAACTGTTGTCATGCGAGGATGACAGTGGAACCAATCGCGCCTTCATGATGTCGCGAGCCATTGTGCTGAAAGCCACTCCAGTATCGACAGCATGGGATGTTGAGCAGGATGATGTCCTTCTCGTATCAACCATCGATCGCCAAGTCCATAAATTTGACATACAGACAGGCCAATGTCTCAGCAACTTCCGGGCTTGCGATACCGACGGAGGCGATGCCGTTGTCTTGTCCTCGTTGGTTCACGTGTCCCGTGGCTGGGGCACCCCATTGATAGCCGGGGTGTCGAGCACGGACAAATCAATACGTGTATACGAGGAGAGCGGTACCCTAGTTGCTCGTGATTGGGGCCATACGGAGGGTGTTTCTGACATTGCGCTGGTACACACACCCGGGAGCCCGGCAGACGAGCCCAACGAAAAGTCGCTCGTCACTGTGGCAGTAGACGGGACTATATTTGTGTGGAGTTTGGGTCTTCCAGCACCACCTAATCGTACCGAAACATCGAAATCTATGGATTTGCTCACTCCAAACACACCATCGAACCAGGAGCTGCTTTCCAACAAACCACCTTTGCGGCGCGTAATGTCACAATCAGAATTGGCACGTTACCAGCGCTCACAACAAGAGGCTGAGGCTACACCAAGTCGGAGCAAGTCGCCAAAGCTGCGAAAAAGAATATCAAAATTCTCCCTGACGCCAACTCCGAAACTTGACCCTTCTCCAATAACCAGCACTCCACGAGACGGACGGACATCCGCCTGTCAAGATAAGGGAACAAGCCGCAGAAACAAGCATCGCTCTCCATCACCCCAAAGTCCCAAAAACAACCATAAATCGAAGCGTCGCACGTCAGTCGAGCCCAGAAACCGCACCAGAGCCCCTGCCCATGAATTTGGTAGTATTGGCGCGTCGACAGAGAGCCTGTGCAGAACGCTTCGGGCCTACAGGAAGCGTCTTGCGAATTCTTCAGATGACATGAATTCTGAGCTCGCAAAAGAAGTGGAAAGGGAGCTTGCTGTGACTGCGAGAGCCATTGGTGACCGAGTCAAAACCAAGGCTTTTGAGGAGACGGTCATGGTTAAGCTGCTAGACCAGTACTCGGAGCGGTTAGTAAACATGCTGGATGAAAAGATTGCAGCCAGCGTGGCTCAGCGAGTTCGCGAGAGCAGCGTGGGCAACTTTTCGGACGGGCCAGACTCACCTCGCGCTGCTCAACGCCCCTCTGCAAGCAGAGCAGGCAGCGACGATTTGAGAGGCTTTCGTGCAGATTCGGAGTCGGGCACCGAAGCGCTGGACAGCACAGAAAAGCTGCTGGTCGAGTAAAGCTGCTGGAACCGGCTGGGTGTTTACAGGGGGGCAAGGTGGTAGGACTGGGAGGAATACACACTGCACATGATGAACAATGTGGCAGACGCGGCGTTGGAAGGAAATCCACTGCTAACAAAACGGCGTTTTGGGATAGTGAAAATGCTCCTCATGTTTGAGCACGACAAGGCGTTTGAAACAGGAAATGACTGGCTTGGTCATCTATCACTTCCTCCTTCTCTGTCTATAGTATCAGTGCGTTTACATAATCGTAGTCTTTAGTTATTTCCTTTGTCACAACAACCTCGCTCAGTAAAGCATATAGAATACATGCACTATTTCATTACGCGTTCCACTTCGCTCAGCTGAACTCAGCCGTCTTTGTATCTTCTCGGGACGGCGCATTACGGAAGATGCGGACCAATATGCAGAGCTGCCACGATGTTGCTAGCCGCCCCTCACCTCTCCCCTAACAAATGACAGTGTATACTTTTTCTGGTCCGTGCAGTAAGTAGGCGGTACCGCAGCTTTGGCTTGAGCAAGAGCAGCCAACCAAGAAAACAAAATATGTTTGCACATACACATAGCACAGTGACAATGCAGACGGCACGACCCACCCTCGCGCGCGAACGAGAGTTCACCCGTTCTTCACCGCCTGCATCGTTGGTCGTGGCCAAACGGCCGGCAAGAAGAAGGACAGCCAACCCCCCATAATACGCATCGTTCACTTATTTTTTTTCTCGCTACTACGCTCGTCCGCCCCGGTATTGCCATCGTTACCCGGCCATCATGGCCCCTCGTTGGATCATCACAACATCCGCCATCGTCACAGCCATCCTGGCCGCAGCCATCTACATCGTTTACCACTCCCCATCACTCTCTGCGCTGAGTCCCTCACTATACGCTTCTCTGTGTGCGCCAGAAGTTCAGACAGTAGCGCAGTACCCCGGGTATCTGGGCTCCGAATGCGCGGGGAAACCGCATCATGCGAGCTGGGAGAGCTGGTGGCATCCGCAGCACAGCACTGGGAACGCCACTGCCGCCAAGAGCAAGGATGGTGCGGCGGCGAGGACAAAAGATTGGAATATCTTGTATCACTTGGGTGGTAATGGGCCGTGGGTGGAGAAGAAGATTGATGTTGTTGAGGGGGGTGTTGCGGTGCCGGAGGGCTGTGAGGTTGTGCAGGTTCATATGGTGAGTTTGCTGAGATACTCGCTGGTGGCTTTCTGAATCTGCCATCCTGGATCGGAAATTCTCCAGAGATATGGAATTCGGGGGTTTAATAAGACGTGTGCTGATATTGTGCGTCAAGATGGCTAGACATGCGGAGCGATATCGTACGAGGAGAGCTGGTCATGGTGAGTAAGCAGATGGACGTTGTCACTGGGAGAGATGCTAATCTGGGTTACAGCTCAGAAATCTGTTGTCAGGCGTATTAAGGAAAGTGGAAAGGTTTTTGATGGGCGTCTGTCATTTTTCAATGATTGGGAGCTTTTCTGGTCTTCAGGTATGTTTGCTATTTACTTGAGTCTCTCTGATCAAACCCGATCATCATTGTTGTTCATGCTATTATCATTGCTCTTTGAGCGATGAGATGTTACAACTACTTCACTGCTTGCTGATTAATATAGACGACCACCTGGAACAACTTACATCTACCGGCCCATTTGCTGGCACACTTGGTTCCTTCACCACCGGAGTCCGCTTACGCACACGCTACCAACATTTGATTGACAAAGCTACCGCCAATCAAGAACATCCTACCATTTTCTGGGCTAGCGACTCCAACAGAGTCATTGAAACAGCCAAACACTTCGCCTCAGGCTTCTTTGGCCTCGACTATGCCGCCGCAAAAACAGCAAGTCTCTCAATTATATCCGAGCACTCCTCCCTCGGCGCAGACACATTAACACCAGGCCGAACTTGCCTTGGCAACAAAAAAGACAAAGAGCACGGCCAGCGAAAGGGATATCGTCTCATGGCTGAGTACCGCGCTTCCTACATGCCACCCATCCGCGAACGCCTCCTCGCACAGACTGGCATGGATTTCTCCGACGAAGAAATCTACGCAATGCAGGAAATGTGCGGCTTTGAAATCACGGTTCGTGGACACAGCAACTGGTGCAATGTCTTTACGCAAGAAGAGTTTCTCAGCTTTGAATACGCAAGAGATCTCCTTCATTACTACCGTGCGGGACCGGGCCAAAAGTATGCCAAGAGCATGGGGTGGCTCTGGTTAAATGCTACGACGAACTTGTTGGTGCAAGGACTGGAGGAGGCGGGACCGTTGTTCTTCAGCTTGTGAGTCTTATCACCTTTACCATCTACTTCAATGACTTGACCAGTCGAAATATACGTGGAATCTGTGAACTGATGAGAAAAATAGCGTTCACGACGGAGACATCGCGCCCATGATGAGTGCCCTCGACGTTATCAACGACGCCCAACACCTTCCGACCACACACATCGCGCACGACCGCAAATGGCGCAAATCCCAAGTCTCACCTATGGGCGGCCGCGTCATCTTCGAACTGCTGTCTTGCAGCAGTAATGGCGCCGCTCAAGATGCTCCAGCTAAATTTATCAGACTAAACATCAACGACGGCATCACGGCGCTGCCAGACTGCAACTCCGGACCAGGCAAAGGCTGTCCTCTAGCTGACTTTGCAGCCCGCACGAAGAGGAAAGGCGAGGAAGTAGAGGACTTCAAGGAGCTGTGTGGCTTACCTGAGGATGCAGCTGGAAGAATAACTTTTCTGTCCCAAAAGCTTGCGAGGTAGATAGGTAGGTAGGTAGTTTGGCGGCCAGTATTGCTTCATGGAGATATAAATGCGGCTCGCCCCTTTTGTTTTCCTCCGTCACATATAGAGATGATTAAACTGGTAAACTGTTGAAGTAGTTGCTCCTGGATACATACAGTAGCTCACGTGATTTCTGCATTGGATCAGTACACTTCTGATGGAAGAGAACAGCTTGATTAAATCCAGAGGTAGGCTAGTAAATGGGATCGAAGCCTACACGGCGGTATCGCGGAACACGCTGTATCAAAGGTTACTTACGGCACAGCATACAGAGACATGGAACAAGTTTTGTCCGCATCCTGTCGATTGTCTGCCGCGTACTTATGCCTAAGTAGCCGGAAATGGCTGCGAACGCACGACTCCAACGATGTAGGAAATCAATCCAAGTACAAGATAGCTGATTGGGGTAATTTCACACATCTCTACCTACGCCCAGTACGCCTCTTGTCTAGCTTTTCAACAACTCTACGCTCTCATGTGAATTGCTTCCCTGTACTCATTCGGCACTTCTCCCTTATACTTTTGCTAGCGCGCCTTGTGCTTTAATTAACTGTATAATTCGCTAATGCTTAGAACATGGATAATAGATTAATTAAGTATCTAGCTAGATTTGGCTCAAAGGATGTTGTTGCTTGGGGAAACACTGGCATGGTCTTCCTTAACGCTGTGTTGTAGACTGTTATTAAAACCCCGCACAGCGAGACACATGCTAATTCCTTTTAAGTTAAAAGGCGCATCTACGAATAGTTCTAAAAGCGTAATAGCTATAACAGACTCTTGTCGTATTATAGGCCTTTTAATAGATATAGTATACGCTTAGAGTATGCACCTAGGTTTAATCTCTACTTAACTCTTTCTAAGGGTACAAATATTAGCCCTACGTAGAGACTTTGTTGGGTGCAGTGGATAACTAATGCCGTCGCCTTTGTTCACTCTGTCTAAGTAATTCACGGAGACCTGTTATATAGCAATATTTTCCTAACCAAGGAATTAGATGCGAAACTAGGAGACTTTAGGGCGTCCTCACTCGACGGATCTAATCTGTTGGTCGCTGTAACTAAAAGTTATCGTTATCCTGGAGTCTTGCGATTAACACGTGCCGATGCTTTTGCTCTTAGTTCCGTTATTTATTACGTTGTGACTAAAACTATTCCATACCGTGGTTGTTCAGACAATGAGATTGATAGGCGCATCCAGGAAGGCGAGTTTCCCTGCACTGCCTCCCTCGGGCTACTGGGCCAAATCATCACAAAGTGCTGGAAAGCAGAGTACAACAGTGCCCAAGACATACGTAACGAAATTGAAGGTATGTAACAAATTTGAAAAAAAAAGAAAACGGGGGGATTAAGGCTGGTGAACGGTGTCGAGGGTTTGAAGGTTCTGAGATAGCTTGCGTGGGATTTCTCTTGCGTGGCAATCGATCGTCACATCTACAGACTGGTTGCAATACCCGAAACGATGCGCAGCAATCTGGCTGGCGGACGCAAGTGAAAGTTGTAAGGCGGAGGCCCGTTGGTATTTAGCCGCAATATAAATCCTACGACACGAAAAGAAGTCACGGAACAGGCTTTTGGCCCGCGATCGGGGGGGGGGGGGTAGGCAAGAAAGTGTAGATAGAATAGTGGCTGCTGTAAGGGCCGTTGGAAGAGATTTTGAGATTTGACAAGCAGGTGGTCATTGGGGCTGAGGGAATGACTAAGTATGTGTTTTGCAAGTCATGTATCATGTTAAGTAACCAGTTTTCTCGACTCTAGTTCTGTAACCAATGTCCAAGCGGCTTGACTCATGTAGCCAGTTCTTTGGTTCTGTAAGCGCTTCGTGCACCTGCAGTTCGCAGTTCAACCGGTACCTTCTTTCTCTAATCCTCTAAGTGTCCTCCTTTGTGGCACTAACAGCACATATGCGGTCTTGAATCGTGTCTAGGTCCGCCCATAGGCGCGTGGTCTCCATGTAGCGAGAATTAATAGGTGGTAGCCGCGATACAAGGCTACAGACAATAATTGATGATGGTGAAGAGCGGGATGTAGACATAGGATTTATCTAGATAGTTCACTATTCAAAACGGTATGCGCGTACATAGTATAAGATTGAAAGCTTCGATATAGTATGCCGATGCGCCGAGACTGAGAAACTGAAGATTTAAATAACGCAAAATTGATGCGCCAAGATAGTACAGCTGCGCAGTCCAAACCCCATCAGCCACGAAGGAGCTCGTATTCGTTGTGTCCCTAGCAAGCTACACTGCTATCTGGAGCTATAATGAAATAACACGAAACAAGCAAATTCTATATTATTCAAAACTTATCAGCTGTATTATGATAAGTGGGGCTATTGGCATATATGCTTGAAATTATAATGTCTTTTGTCGGGATATATCTACTTGACCTTCTGCATGGTGAAGAAGGTTAGCCTTTTTGCACCACATCTTTTTATTCACTAGAATGGAAAAATAATCTAACCACGCTAATGATAGATTGGAGTATGCTAAACACAAGCGTGTTTGTGACTTAATCCTCTGTGAGCATTCCGTCTTGTATTTCAGGTCGCTAATAATGCTAATACTATAGTTATT